TTCAAATCCCTAGTGCTGCATAACGGGGTGAGCTCCTGTTACTTGTCCCAGTTCCTTCCAACCTAGCAGTTTGAAAGCACGTAAAAATGCAAGTAGAAAAATAGGGGACACCTTTGATGGGAAGGTAACAGTGTTCCGTGCTCCTTTGGCATTTAGTCGTGCCAGTCACATGACCATGGAGACGCCTTCGGACAGCACTGGCTCTTCAGCTTTGAAACGGAGATGAGCACCGCCCCCTAGAGTTGGGAACAACTAGTACTTATGTGCGAGGGGAACCTTTACCTTATGGTCGACATTTATGAAATCATATTGATAATAGGGATTTTTTTAGTTGTCCAATGATGAGTTTATTTAAATTTAAATTTATTCTTCCCCAGGTGGCCTGCCTACATCAGCATCCCCAACACCAGCATGGGGGCCCCAGTCTACGGCCTTCGGTCAGCCAACCCCAGTGTTTCCTGGAACTGCTCTGAGTGCTCAGCCAGTGAAATTTGCACCATCTCTCGGTTTCGGTGCTCCTCAACAAGCACCTGGTTGGGGCCAGCCAGCTCCAGGCCAGACTCCAGCTCCTGATCCCTGGAGTCAATCTGTGTGTGTTTCTTCATCCAATGCATGGGCACAGCCTCCTACTAGTGGGAACCCTTTCCATATCAACATGTTTCCACCTTCTCTGGCATCTCACCCTCCAACTATGTTGTCCTCCATGTCATCTACTAGCCCTCCTCCTCAGTTGCCTCCTAGAACTGCACCACAGAAGGAGTGCAGTGTAAAAAAGGAAAGCGATGCCTTTACTGCTTTAGATCCTCTGGGTGATAAAGAGATAAAAGATGTCAAGGAGATGTTCAAAGACTTCCAGCTGACGAAACCACCCGCTGTGCCTGCCCGGAGAGCAGAACAGCAACAACCAGGTAACAAAATAGAGGTTCCTGAAGATGTGGCTGACCACGATCTCATTGGTCTCATTAAATAACCTTCTAGTTCAGTGGTGAGATTCAAAAAATTTTACTCTGTGGGCATGGCTTGTTAGGCGTGGCAGGGAAAGGATACTGTAAAACCTCCATTCCCTCCCCACTCCAGGGGAAGGATACTGCAAAATCCCCATTCCCTCCCAATCAGCTGGGACTCCGGAGGCAGAGAATAGATGGGGGCTGTTGCAGTCAGAGGTGGTATTTACCATAAATTTCCGCTACCAGTTCTCCAGAACTGGTGAGAACCTGCTGAATTCCACCTCTGTTCTAGTTCTATATCAAACCTCTTCTTGACCATAGATTTATTGAGTGGCCTTGAATAAGCCATTTCTCTTATATTAGCTAAGTGACTGATGCAGAAATTGTGGTATGCGGTGGCATGTGATGCATCGGACTTTACTTTTCAATTTAACTAAGTCTGAGGTAATCGATGCCTCAGTAGAGAACTTTAGAACTCTATAATATACCAGTGTTCTCAATCTATGGAAACCTGTAGAGTTCAATACTCAGAATTCCCCAGTCACTGCTCAGAATTCTGGGAGTTGTTGACTACCAGGTGAAGAAGGGTGTTGTATATGCTGTCTTGGATTGACAACAAATGTGATGCAACTATAATCAAATAGATTACAGCTTTGAATTGACACCAGGAGATTCGTTAAAGTCAGAAAGAAACATGGCTGCTTTCTTGAGGCAGCACAAGTCTCTCGTCTTCATCCACAAAGCCACCTTCCATTCTAGAATTCCTGACTTGCTAAAGAAAGTCACATTCTTTATTTTACAATACTAGGAAAGTCCATCGGGATTTTCTTTTTCAAAAGCTTGTGGTAATAAGCCAGTTCAGGGAAATCAAAATGAAAGCTTCAGGGCAATTGTAAGTAGGCTGTGAGAATAACCTTGGGAGACAGGAGGAAGAGCCAAAGCAAGGGCAATGATCAGCAAAATGATATCCCAGCCCATAAAAAGAACAGGAGTGAAGAAATAATGTCAGAAGAGACCCTCCCTAGTTCTCTTAATAAAGACAAGGGAGGGGAGAAGTAAATATAGGGTTAGCACACATTATTTTGGTTTCCTGTCTGGACTAACTTAAAAGGCTGACACTAACACTGTGCAACTGGTGGACTGGATGAGGGCTAACAAGCTTGTACTCAACCCAGAAAAGACCGAGTGGCTGTTGTGTTTCCCTCTCAAAAATTTGGTTAGTGTTCCATCGCTCAGGCTGGGGGGCCAAATTTTACACCCCTCAGACAACTGGGAGTCCTCTTGGATCCACAGCTGACCTTTGATCACCACCTGTCGGCTGTGACCAGGGTGGCATTTGCCCAGGTTCGCCTGGTGCGCCAGTTGTGACCCTAC